CTCGTTCGCGGTCAGCCGACGCATCATGGGGCCTGGATCCGAAGATGCGCAATTGATCAACAAGAATGGCTTGGAACACAAACCACACCATACGAATAGGCAATCGTTTGTTAGAGGATGTAGCAGTGCATCTGCTGTTCAGTCCTGCGAGCCTGTCTCGGGCTGGGATCGCAAGCGGTTGCTACTCCCAGTGTCTCTGGGGAGAAAGCGTGGAAGCTCCAAGTCCTAGAGTCTGAAAACATGGGCGGACGCAACCAGGAAAGCCAAGGTCCGCTCTCGGTGTCGACTCAACCATGCACGTAAACACCATCATGCCAGCAGTTTGGCTCAGCAGGCAAGTCAGAACCTGCATTGAAGCTAAATGATGACTCGCCTTCTAATTTCTCACATGGAAGGCCATGCTCCACTCGACCGGGTCTCCGCCGTAGTCGCATACCCTTTCGCAGCAGCAGACGATGTGGATGTCCGCGCCATCTACCTGCTACCTCCACCTCCTCCCACACCCCTCCTCTCACTCATCGTTCTCCTCCTTCTCTGCCTCCATCTGATCCCTTCTTTTTGCGGCAAGTGTAACGCCGCCACACGTCTCATCTTTTGGTCGGCAGATAATTGAAAAACTTCGCTGCGGGTAGCCATTGCTCTGTGGGCAAAATGGGCGCGGCAACGTCAAGGCAGCAGATTGCGAGATGATGGAACAGATGGCAAGTACAGGCTGGAGAACGCGAGAAAATGGGGAGCGGATTCGTACTACAACAAAGGTGGATAGCAAATCTGCACGCCAACACATGAATATCGGAAGCGGCAACGTTCTGGCACGCGTCCCGAACTATACGACAGTGGTGACACTGGCTCGCATGCAGCTCTCGCAAGCAGGCGAAATGGATCTCAGGTTTTGGAACGCGGCCTTGGAATGGGTGTATCTACACGTGCTCGAGAAGGCCACGCCGCAAGGCCGAGGCAATGTACTAACGCATCGGGGCTTCCTTAGCGGAGGAAATGGCCGTTGGTAACGCTCGTAACCCATGGCCCATACTTGGAGAAACGTCATGGCAATCGCAACCAAGGTCTGCCACCGTGCCCCGCTTGCACTCGGCGGAATGGTATTCTGCTCATCTGCGAGCAGAGGGCCCCCCACTGAGGCTCCCCAGGCGACCCGACGCCTGCCAGACGGTCGCCAAGGCTTTGAAATGTCTTCGATTTGTCCAGGACAGCCCTGGAGTTCCATCGAGGCCGACAAGATGGCCCAACATTGTAAGAGTTACCCAACAACCCCCAACAATGCCCGAAGAGCGCCGAAGAGCCCGCAACAAGCACTCAAAGACGTGAGAAGATGCCTCGAAGAAACCCTCCACGAGGCCCAATCACAAGCATCTCTGTCTTTCTTATTTTGCTGTTTGTTTGTTCTCTCTTTCTTTCTCTCTCTCTCTCTCTTTCTTTCTTCTTCCCCAAACCGTCACGTTGTTTTCAACGGACTGAGTATGACACCGAAGGCACTTGCATTTCAGAACAATCTGCGCCATGGAACGTGCCACGGGTTGCCGGGAGCTTATGCGTGCCGTAAACGGGTTTGACCATGAGCGGCGACCACAAGGTCCCTTGAAACCCCGAGAACTTCTACGCGCCATAAGTTGCGCTCAAAGTCGCGCCATGTCTTGCGTTCATAAAGCCCCTTGCAACCTCAATGAACTTATGTGCGCCATAGGTTGCGCTACAGGTTGCACCACAGCTTGTGCCTATAGGGCCACTCCCCCAGAAACTGCAGGATGGCATAAGCTGTCGCCCCGAGGACTCTCGAGTGCCACAGTTTGCACCATAGGGTGCGCCCCGTGGGCTTCCTACTCCCTGGAGTGTTTGGGCGCGGTCGGCTGCCACATGACTTGCGCCATCGGTTTCACTATGGGTTGGGGTTTAGCTTGTTTCGCTTTGATTTGCTCTGCGTTGCGTTATTCCACAGTGCTTTGTCATGTGTTACATTGTTTTGCATCCCTTTGCACTTGATTGCGCCCTTTTGCATTGCCTTCCATTCCTTTGCTTTGAACTGCATTAATCTGAAAATTCATCGGCTAGCCGTCGCTCTGCGTGGCATTGATCGGCTTAGCGTCGCTTTGCAGTGATCTTTCCTGCTCTGCGCTACTTCGTAGCGCCCTGCCTTGCACAACCCTGCTCTGCACCACACGAGCATGCCTGGGGCTGCCGGGTAGGGCTCGTGCACGAAAGTCTTCGAAGGCCGCCCCCCACCCCCCCCGTCGACGCGCTCGGGTGTGCGCCCCCGCCCTCCCTCTCGCTGCTCCCTGGGCCGCGCGGACGTCTCCCCGGGGCCCCCCTTGCGGACGGGAGCTCTCGAATCTACTAGCCTGTCGCCCCGGCGGCCCCCGGCGACGAGCGACTAGCGCGCCGCTGCGCTCTGCGGGGCGGGAGGCTCGGAGCAAGATCGGGACGGTGACGCCTTGGGGCCGGGAAGTGGACAGCGTGTCGCGCCGCAGCGTGGTGGGCCAGAGCC